CGCCTTCAATTGTATTTATGTACTGCTAATTCACTGTTATTTCTTCTCATGTCACCACTTTTAATGGCTGCTAACATTGTCCGTTCTCTCACTTTGCTGTGAGGAAATTCACTTTTGACAGTGGTTTTGCGGACGTAGTAAATTAGAAATGTTAACAGCTGAATTGAACGCTGCTTGACTGGCATGTGTGTTTTAAGAGTAAATTATAAGACTGCATCATATATGTGTAGGACATGATGTTCACATTTAGCTGCTGTTTCTCTGAATGGAGAATTTGCGCTTTCTGATTCTTTGTTCCGGTGCTCTGCATGTATCCCACCCCCTTTCCAGGAGTTTTACAAATGAAATCCCATGCAAATACATGCCCCTTTTCCATATCACACCCCTTTTGTTCTCTGATCATTTCTATATTCTGTGGGACCATTTATATTTATGTAACAAAAAAGTCAAATGGGAAAATGAAGACAAGCCCTTTGTGAGTACCCAACAGGAAACTACCACAACTTATATTAATCCAAAACAAATGAATAAATAGATTCTGGTCCTGTAGGCCTACTTTCTCGCCATGTATTCATGCACGATGGCACAGGCTTGCAGCGTGCAAGGTGAGGAGAGCAGGTGTTGTCAAGGTAATGGCGTGGACCATTGTATTGCATCAGGCTACCTTACACATTCAGCCTCCAGAGCTGGCATTTGTCACTGTTAGTTCTGCTACTCAACTTTTTTGGGCATCCTATCTTTTTCCTCTTTTTTTTTCCGTACCTTCCCAAAGCGTGAATCTGTGAGCCACTGCCACTCGGGAAATCTGGGTCCACTGCCACCCCAGTTGAGGCAATTATTTAGAAGTAGGAAGGAGTTTGGGGAGGCTGTTGGCTTAAGGCTTATGGAAAATTCTCTCTCATTTATTTTCCTTCCCCATTCAGGAATTTTAGAGCCCTAAGCAGGGACTAACTTAATAGTCCATCTGGTCCTCTTAATACCCCCCGATCGAGTAATTTTTATTTGCCTGAAGAGAGAGAGAAGAGTTGCAGGTTTATTCATTAACTTGAGCTCCGAGAACAGTATTCCCTGGCACCATCTTGGCTGTTTAATTTGGGATTATCCTGCTATGCACTACTGTTTTTTTACACTAGGACTATGTGTGCCTTGCGTTTACTAATAATTTCACACATAATAATGACTGTCTGTTTCAGCATTTACTGATTTGCATTTACTAAGATGATTACAATGAAGACCTGTGTATTATACTGTATTTACGGCACCCATATAAGCAATCAGAATTCAGCTGACACCATGAATATCTAGAGTGGAGCTATTCAGCTACAGCTTCTGACAATCCACTTTTTGAATTATTTTACAACTGACTCTTTAATTATTTGATGATTATCGGGATCAGTACAGCAATTAGGTTGTACTAAACGTAAGTAGCCTAGCACTAGTGTATATCTGGAAAAAGTGAACATGTTTTGGAGTGATTTCAGCAGAATGTGACAGCAGAATTCCCTCTTTCTTTGAAGTGAAGCAAAGCAGTGCCTGGGCATTAACTAGTGGATAGTTAGGAGACCTGAATAAAATGCAGGTTGCCCCTGTTGTTGGTGTTGTGGGACCAGTAGGTGGTGCTCTTCTGTCTGGGTGGCAATTTGCAAAACCCAGAGACTGAATGATGACCCCGGCACACTGTACTATAGGAGCTGCTGTCCTTCACATGAGGCACTAAAGTGAGGTTCTCTCTTCCTAGTCATTAAAGATTGCACGGCACTGTTTGTAAGGCTAAGGTTGAGAGAGTCCTAGCTAATCTGCACCATGGTCTTGCATATACTGGCCTACCTTAAAAATACTGCCTCTTAATTCAATCGGTGGTTGGAGCTTTTCAGTACAGGATGAAGTACTGTTGGTTCTCTCCTATACAGAAAGGCACTTGGCCTCCTCCACGATGAAAAGTGCTATATACAGTATGTTATTTATAAAAATGTATATTCTGCATAAGCCCAGTACCACTGCATTAAACCTCCAACAGGGATAGGAATGAAGCTGAAAGGGGAGAGAAATAATGACAGAAGCCAAAAGTTGTGAAAATTACTCTCAGGGGTTCACTGAATTAATGACTGTTTGACTCATCTTTTGGGGTTATAGGTGAGGGCAGGCAGTGGCCCCAGCCAGCCAATTAGAAACTGTCCTAGTTCGGCTGCAAGATCAATAAACCACCGTCAGCCCGATGAAACTGAGAAGGCAGGTATTCCTGTGACACAGGCCAAAGGCTACTCCCTGCTGAGTCATTAGCATTGGCATGTGGTAAAGTATTTTGTTTTAAATGGAGGAATAAAAAAATAAAGCTGACAGTTCATTATGTTTCAGTAGTGAACAGTTTTGTGGTTAAGAACCCATCTGACAGCTCTTCTCGCTCTTAAAACCCCTGTAACTCGTATTTGACAGCCACCGCGGCCCTGTGCGCTGGGGAGGTCTATATTTAGCTAATTTAGCTATTATTCATGTACCTTGGCACATTTTCTGGAAACGCTGTGCAGCTTGTGTTGGGATGGGGGTTATTCAGAGAACCTTTTTGAAAAGAGACTGACAAGTCCCAGTTCTGGCAGTCTGTCCTGTTTCTGCTTAGTTAGCTTCCTTTTGATTTTACAAACAGGATGACGGCGAAATTTCCTCATCGCCCAACCTATCTGATAGCGACGCAGCACCTTCAAAAACAGGGCACGAATTTAACAATTAAACTTCACCTGCTTGGTCCTGTTGTGGTAGGCTGTTTAACATATGAGGCAGGCTGTATGCATGCAACGCCTTTCCCACAGTGTTTTGCTAACAACCTAGTTTGGAACTGTGAACTGTTCCTTTACATCTTGGACTAGTGTCGGACATCTATGAACCCATATGCTGTGATAGGGGAAGTGCACTGAAAGAGGTTCCTCTGAACCACATTCCCCAGAATGCTGTTGAGGATGAGTGGCTGTCCTCAGTCACCTGACCTGATTCCAAGATGGTGATTGGTCAGGTGATACTGTAATCAGGGGGCGCAAGATCAGTCTGATCAGTGATTTACAGAAAGTGGACTTGCTTTGGAAGCCTCTCTCTTAAAATAACACTGATAACCTAATGCAAGGAGAAGTTAATATTAGATAATTCCCTGGCACCTAGATATTAGTTAATATTAGGGCCTTTAGCCCCGTGTCTGACTTTTCTGGCAAACAACGACATCTCCTCGCAGGCTCTGGGCAATTAGCAGTTTCGCGACTGCTGACAAATAAGAGATTTTGGGGGGCTTTCATTATGCCGGCTCAACACAGGCTTCGAGCAAGAGGGTAGCTTGGGTAATGACTCTCGATGCATGCTGGGACCCACCTACACCCTCCTACTGTGCACACTGAGAGGGGAGGATCTTGCATCGCCAAGGGCTGGGGTGACAAGAGAGCGAGATACAGCCCAAGCAGTGTTCACACTCGGAAACGGGGAGAGGGGAGAGGATCTTTAAGCAGAATGGTACTAATTACATGCTAGCAAATCTGAGGTACGGTTATGTAACGGGAGTGGCGGTAGAGGAGTCATCGGTGCCCCAGCAGCGGAAGATGAGAGCACTGGAGAGGTCTAAGGGCACATTCGCAAACACCCTTCCTTTGCAGAAACGTTTAATTAACGCCTCGCACTGTGAGCTGGCAACTGCTCGCAGTCGCTTCTCTTAACTCGCTACAATCCCCCCTTCCCTCCTCCTCCTCCTTTCCTCAGGATTATTGAATTAAAAATAAACCACCGAAAACACAAGGCAGAAAGCGCCTGAAATCCGAGTTTTCTTCAATCTGTTTCTCTCCAAGGCGCTGACACTACCAAGCGCTCCCTTCGCGAGCACGATGCTAATTGCTCCCCCAAGTGCGGGGCTGTAGTAAACAATTATTCCCATCTTAACGAGGAGGGCCCTGAGCATCCAATATTCATTCGTATTGGGAAAGCTGGGCGTTTGAAGTTGCACAGCCTGTCCGACATTTTTAAAACAAGAAGCAGAGTCTCTTTATAAGAAACGGGAAAGGGGTCATTGTTGTTGTTGTTGTTTTCAAAACAGAAGGGGCTATTTAATGCTTTGGGGACCAGATTTTGAAATTAAATGCCCAATTCAAACAAAATACTGTAAATGCTACAGGCCCTCTACTGTAATGTTTCTTCATTAGTTACTGTGTTCTAAAATGCAATAAAAGTGGTGTCTGGGGCCTGAATGACCTTATATTGAAGCTTCCAATATTGTGCCCTATGGTTTTTAAATGGGGTGTACAGTCCTTCTCCCTCCTCCTCTGTGAAATCTGGTTTTCTTCTAACGCTCAGCAAGCCAATGATAAAATAAGCAGCCCTGCCCTGTTCATGTTATCTTATTCCACACATTACTTTTCACAATCTGATTATATGGACCCTGATAAGAGTTGAGATTCTGGGTTCCTTGGTATATGTTTTGCTCTGTGGAGGGAATCACATGTTTTTTTTCGGGGTAGTGGGTAGTGGGGCAGTGGGTCTGCCCCTTTGCCCCGGCGCTGGCATCATCCAGCAACTCCCATTCAGGCTGAGCCCGGTACAGGAGCACCATGCTGCTGCTTGCCCTGTATTGTGTAACACAGGGTATTAATAGGCCACTCCATCATACTGTACAACCCCATGCATTCTGAGCAGTTATACTGCCATCACAACTGCATAGAAAACAATGACTGTAATCAATAAAAGCCAACAGCCAGGGGCTGTTCAGTGTAGCAGTGGGAAGCATTTTTCAATTTCCAAATGTTCAGTTTTGTACTCCACTCTCCCTTATGTCTTTGCTCTTTAGGCAGACTTAAGAAAGCCTGACTGCTAGATCTTTGCAGACTCTCAGTATATGCATATAGCCCCTTTGTCCCTATTGGCTCTCTCTCTGACGAGCACGGACCCCAGCTGCATGCTTGCCTTGTGACTTGATGGTTTTCCTCTTTTTCATCCCATACTTTTCCCTTCTCTGTCCCTCCCTCTCTGGCTCACAGACAGTAACTTCCTGCTGGGGAACGCCCAGGTGCACCGGGGCTTCCCGATCGTTTACTGCTCGGATGGCTTCTGCGAGCTCACGGGCTTCGCGCGGACCGAGGTCATGCAGAAGACCTGCAGCTGCCGCTTCCTGCACGGGGCGGAGACCAGCGAGCACATGTCCCAGCAGATGGAGAAGGCGCTGGAGAGCCGGCAGGAGTACCAGGTCGAGGTGCGCTTCTACAAGAAGAACGGTGAGACTCCAGCCACGCCTTGGCCGACCCCTGACCTTTGACCCCAGACCCCTGACCCCTGACCCCTTGAGGTCTTTGTTCCATTCCCTACTGTGTGCTCATGGGATCAAACAACTCCATCCATCCATTTTCTATCCAATTCAAATCCAATTCAGGATTGCAAGGGAGCTGGAGCGTATCCCAGCAAGCAGCGGGCGTAGGGTGGTATACCCTAAACAAGATGCCAGTCCATCTTGGCATCTTGTATCTGTGTATGCACAGATATAAACACACTCACACCAGGGCCAATCTCCCAGAAGCCCTGAGAGCCTTGTTGATAAGTGTTATATCTATTTTTGTTTTCTTCAGGATAGGTTCTCTTTCTCGTGCACTAAAGAGTCTCATGCTCTAACAGTTGCGCTTCCCTGCTTGATGTAACAGCAAGTTGTTACTGAAGCTTTAGGCTAGTGACTGTTTTTGAGATGTATCCAGATGTGCTAAGGTGCTGATCATGTGCTGCACTGCTTCTGAATTGGGAAGTATGTGGCAGAAGACGAAAACTCATCCTCATCTGAAGAGCTTTAAATAAACTGGCAGGATTTCAGCCCAGCGCCTTGAGGCGTAAGGTTTACCTGCCCCCTCAAACTGTGCTTCTGGCACAACGGCTCATGTTCTGCGCAGACGTTAATGAAGCCCTTGCAGTGGCACAGTCCCAGGGAGCATCACAGTGGTGGTTGAAGCCTGGAATAGAAAGGCCTTTGTAGCACATCAAGATCATGTTTTTCAATGAGGAAAAAGAACAAAGCCAGGTATGCAAGAGATTCTGTATTAAAATAATTCCCTGGATTTTTAAGGGCTTTTTTTTCCTCTCTATTTTATCACAGGTACCCCCTTCTGGTGCCAGCTGGACATCGTGCCTATTAAGAACGAGAAGGGGGAGGTGGTGCTTTTCCTCTTCTCCTTTAAAGACATCACGGAGACTCGGGGGAAGGGTCACCACAGTGGCAGGAAAGAAGGTACCGTCCAGGAATTGCAAACAACAGGGCACTTGAGCTGCAGGGACAGCTCATTGGTCACAGGCCTCTTTCCTTGGGGTCTGTGTTGCTTAACACACAGATTGCATTCCAGGGGGCATAATCAGTACAATCCTGAAGTCACCAGCTAGAACTGAATCACTTGGGCCAACAGCTGGGAAACTGTACTCACACAGCCTGGTGGACAGTGCTGTTATGACTGGTAGATTACTTTGCAATGTGCTACACTGCCTTCCGGTCATGTCCCAAGCTGTGGAATTAAAATTTTTTTTCCAAAGTGAATTTTTTTATTCTAAACATGAATGCATAAATGGAAACGCTTTTATGGGTGAAATGTTAAAAAAAACATTGCATGCATAGGTATTTATTCCCCTCCCAGTGCCGAGGCCAGGCAGCGGTTACCGTTGTTATAAAGCAGTGAGCGTTTTGGGATTGGTCCTCTACCAAGGTGACCCGGACGGTGCAGCGTTCACCCATCATCCTTTGCAAGCGGGCTCAGTCGGCTTGTTTCCGTCTTCAGCGTGGCGTGGCGTGCGCGGTGACCTGCCGTTCGTTGCTCTTGTTGCAGAGGAGAAGCGCAGGAACAAGAAAAGCGGCAGCTCGCACTTCACGGCCGCCAGGAAGCGAGGTCACGCCGTGCTGTTTCACCTGACCAGCCAGTTCTCCAAGAAGAGCAAGAGCGAGGTGACGCTGAACAACGTGAGTAGAGTCTGGGGGTATTCAGGCCGCTTTATCCCTGCTGCTCTACCCCTGGAGACGTGCCGCGACTCCCAGCCCTGCGTATCCACGTGAGGGGCCCCGAGTTGTGGAAGTTTTGATTTCAAGGGCAACTGTAGACCCAATTTCACAGCCTGGTTAATAAATCTCGGTAACGACATAAATTCATAGACCTGTGAGAAGAATTTCACCAATTCCGAATTAATCACACAATCAGGAACTTTGTGAAAGTACTGTATGTTATCACACACCCCTGGTGCTGCCACGGGTGAGAGCGAGGGTGCACGAGAATTGCAACATGGTGGGGCCCTTCCTGCTCACTAGTTCCTGTAATGGCCAACGTACTGTGACGTACGAGTGAATAAGTACAGGTTGTGCAGCAGATATTTCACCGCAGAAATGTTCCCACGTGATCTGCTTGCAGAGTGAACAGGTAAGTTGTATCTGTTGGCAAAGCTGTCTCAAAGCCGAGGGCAAGATTTCCATTGGGTTCGAATTTACGTGCTCACGAGGCAGCTCATTTACAATGGAAGAGGGCTGCTTCACCTCACCAGATGTTTTGTTGCCTTGTTCTGAATTGCTGACAATGACAGCAGTATGGTGCTGCGCAAATCTGGAAATTTTAGTCCATACCTGCGGTTTGAGTTGGTGCAGCGCGTTGAAACTGTGGTTCTGCCATAAAACTTTGTTAAAGATAAACTTGGAAAAAAGCAAAGTTGCCTAAGTATTCTAGGTAAATTAATTGGCAATCCAGTTCTTTAGACAAGAGAGTCTTTCTTACAGTGTCAGTAGGTCAGGAAGGTCTTGTTTTCATGTTTTACTTTCTTTAGTCTGTGGACTTAAACTCCTTTGATTTTATAAATAAAAGCACCTTAACCGCAGCACAAAAAACCTCTCCTGGGTCTGTTGTCTCACTTCCTGTCTAGCACCACTATGCTAAAAGAGCCGGGCAGTTTTGACCAGCCCCTCCAACGTGTCACAGTACACACACACACGCTCCACACTTGTCTGTGACAAAGCACCAAGCTTCTGGGCCTGTGAGATGTGAGAGTGAAAAGTTGGCTGTTGCTATGAGACCTGAGGCAGTTGCTAAGGCGCAGGGCAGTGGAATGTAGCTAGTGGAAGTCTGGGAGGAATTACATTGTCTTTCTCCCCAGATCCACACTCAGCCCTTTCAGAATCAGACATGATATTGTTAGGTGATCGTATTGCAGAGAACAATGTATTTCCAGCAAGCGTCTTTGTCACCGTCTTTGTTCCAGTAGAAAAAAATCTGCCATCAGTATGGTCTGAGTTAAAGAATCAAAAGTACAGAACGTGAAGGACCTTTCTCAATCTTGGCAAAAATAGCACAGATGAGAGCTTTGCTAATGGCTGCGAACATCAAAGTTAAAAACAGAAATCAAAATCTTTTGAAGAAAGGACTAAAAGGGCATAGACGCAACATTTTTAGCAATTTTTCAAAATAGATCATCTTTAAATAAGTTAAGGCTTTTTATAAGTTGGACGAGTGCAAAAGGGGTAAGCTTACTCAAACTGGTTTTTCTTGTCAGGCTTTTACCTGTTTTTGAAAATCAAGGCACAGGAAATCTGTCCCAATGATTATTTTTGGTGGGGTGTTTTTTTGGTTCTGAATGGTTTAGAGGCTGAGGCCAAGCAAGAGGGCTCATGGCTCACCATTCCCCCTTGAATTGGAACATGAATCATTAGAATAACCTTTTTCATTAACTGGAGTGTGATGCCGATCGCAGATTGGAGCTGGAACGCCCACTTACAACAGAGCCTAAAGGGTTCAGTGAGTACAAGGGTGTAGATGAGTGAGGGGAAAGGGGGGGATACGCAGAGGGATAATTACCCAGTCTCTAGACTAGCCTGCTTATACTGTATAAATAACGAGCACAATACAGGAAGGGTCATGGTGAAGGGCTCTCCAGCACACAGAGCCCTATTACGTGACAGATCTGCTGCACAGACGCAGATTCAGTCCTGGAACAGAGTGGCCGTGTGTCTTGGTCTGTGCGCTGCAGGTTTGCAGCTCAGAGACCCTTATAGAAGCAGCGCAGGCGATCGCTCAAGGCAGGAAAGATCTCCGTGTCCAGTCTTTTCTAGCTAGAAACAGCCAGACGGGCTAGGCTTGGAGTCACTCGGGTTCCAGAGTTACAGTTAGACCAGGAAACCGTGTTTGAATTTGCTATTGGGCTGCAGGAAGAAGCAGGTTTGCTCTCCTGCAGGTTATAAGGGAAAAGAGGATTCGTTTTTTTTATCGCTTATCACCCTGATGGTTTATGGTTAAAAGGTTGCCTGTAGGGTGAGTATAGTGGGGTGCAGTGCATCTCTCCCGTACTAAATTCAGGGTTTGAGGGGATTCTGGTGAAGCAAAGCAGGTTCTGAACCCAGTCTGGTTAGGAAGTTTTTTTTTCTCCAGGATTGGTCCATCTTTAGGCCCGGTTTCCTTGTTCTCCACTGGTGTATAGATCAGATTGCGCTAAAGAAGAGGGAGGTGTCCTACAGTATAATAAAGAGGTCACGTGTGGGGGTCCTACCATGGTATGGAGGACCCACCACACTTATCTAGTCAGATATAATCATCCAAAGTCTACAGTAAAAAAAAAACTCTGAATATTGCTGAAGCATATTAAGAACACAGAAGACCCTGTGTGGGTTGTGTTCCTGAACCAGGCTCTGGTGATCTCACCCTTGGCTGTTCGTTCAGCAGCAAAGAATCCTCTGGTGCCGCATTCAAGCAACAGATCACATTTTGAAAGCTAGTCTTCATTTTCCCTTCCATAAATTTGTCCTCAACAGCAAATACTATGTACAAACTGCTGCATTTTGCTGCATTTTCATTTGCCCGGGTTTCATCAATACCGCATATACATTACCTTGCCTGCGTGCTGAGTTTGTATACGTGTGCTACTGATTGTGATGATGGACTCATCCAACACAGCATACAGAGAGCATCCGTGGGGGCTATTCCTACGCAGTTGTTTTTATTGTGAATTAGTTTATCCATCGCTTCATGTTTGTTTTAGAAATGCAGGATGTGGAATTCTTTTCTCGTTACATTTTGGGAACACACTAGACGTGCCAAATGTGTCACTTGCGAATGAATTTTTCTTGGCAAGTCTTTTGTTTAGTATAAATGCCTTCGCTCCACATGAGCTAGGAGTACTTCAGATCAATAAGTCTCACCTCTTTTTCCCAGAATTGCCATTGTAATTTTGTGGTGGGAAAAAAAAATCAAAAGCCTTAGAAATGCGTTTCACAAATCAAGCCTCCGTTTTCTTCCCAGTTATGCAAGCCGGCAATGCGGATCGACTGTTTCCCCAACAAACTCTCATAGGGAGCTGATGGAATGGAGCCTGCTGCCTCTATTAAGAGTGTGAATGAGTGTGATAAAGTGCCAAGGTCAGGGCAGACTTCCACTGGCCCCAGCTGCCAAGGCTGGGTAAGACGCAGAGGAATCCCTTCTCGACAGGAACGCAGTTCTGCTGACTGTGCACGACTGGACCTGATCCGTTCTGTTTTTATCCATTTCTGCCATTCAGCAGCGGAGTTAGTCTTGCCTTTTCCTTGGGCTTTGATTTTGTACTATTTCATTGGTTATTTTTAGGAGACCCTTCTGTCGATAAGGCTTGGCTGAATTTTGGTCCAGGACACCTGTCTTTCTCCGGATTTCACTTAGTTTCACCTCCTCCGTCTGCTTTCCCTCAACACCCTCCTCGCCGTGGGACAGATGGCAGGATCACCTACAGCTAGAGATCTGCCAAGTCCAAAAAGGAATCTAGGTTCAGGATTTTGTTTCTGCCTCCAACGAGACTGCAGAGTATTCTGCAATGACGAGAGACTGCCATTAGGCAGCTACATACAGAAAAGACATTCAGCTAAAAAGACTTCAGGTCAAGAATACATTTTTTTAAATATCTAAAATATTTTTAGATGCTAATAATGCTAATATATAGTAATTATTCCTGCAAAACCGCATGATGGAGGATTTTAGAGTAAGTGTTAAAGAAACATCATGATGCATTGCAAGAGCAAGAGCAGTCTGCATTGATTGTAAAACAAGAAAAACAGATTCCAGATTGAACTTGAAACAGGTGAACAAATTGAAAAGACAGCGGGTTAGGGGTTAAACCAAATGTAGGCACAGAATTAAGCAAGCAACCACATAGGCAGCTCAGTGACACAGGGATTGATTTAACTGTCTGTGTATAAGGCATTTAACTGTATGAATGCATCTATAGTATTGATGCTCTGAGTGGATAAAGTCAGCCTCACTGCTCTTTCTCACCATTCAAATCAAGGCAATATGCTCTAATGACAGAGGCTCTGGGTGAGAGGAGAGGTCTGGAAATCATTGCATTGATTGAGACAAGTCTCTGTGGCTCCGGAACTCATGGTTTTATGAATGCTGATCTGTATTATTGTGATCAGTAGATATACTGTACTATAATATACTGTATTTATTATAATCAGATCTTATTTTAGACACAGATCTTCACTCCTGTTACTGGAGAGCCATAGCCCAGCAGAATTTGTACCTCTTATTGACTAAAGATGGGGAGCTGCAAATGGTCAACCAGACCAATGATGTCAATAATTGATTAAATTAAGTCATTACTAGTGCAAGGGACAGCACATTGACTCAGGGGTTAGCATTACTGCTTCTCAGAGATGGGGAACCGGGTTCAATTCCTGAGGTGCTATCTGTCTGGAGTTTGTATGTTTTCCCTCTGTGCACATGGGTTTCCCAAGCCCAGAGTCATAGTGGTAGCATAGCGGCGTGTTTGTGTCCGTCTGCCTTGTGATGGACTGGCTCTCTGGCCAGGGTGTAACCTGCCTTGAGTCCATTGCTTGCCGGGATAGACGCTGGGTCTCCTGCAGCCCTGCACTGGATAAAGTGGTTAGAAAATGTATGAATGGACTATTTGAGCAGCAAAATCAGAAGGCTCCGTTGTGGATCACTGCTACACAGCCTT